CCTTCCTTCCTTCCTTCCTTCCTTCCTTCCTTCCTTCCTTCCATCCGTCCTCCCTCCCTCCTGTGTTGTAGAACTCGTTCCACAGATTGAAGTTATGTTAATCTCTGCCTCAGGTTCAGTAAATTAGATTCACAGAGGTTAAATGAAGCTCACTGCTCCGGCTGATAGAAGCCGAAGCCTTCASTTTGAACCATCTGATAAAAACATCCGTTTATCGGCTGTTTTAAAAGATTAGTGGCTGAAATTGGAGGATTTTCTTCAGTTTAAATGCTGTAAATTGTCTTCCTGCAGGTTCTGACTCCGGAGGAGCTGATGAAAGCCCAGAGAGCCGTCGCTTTCGGCTGCATCAAATACGCCGACCTCTCCCACAACCGCATCAACGACTACGTCTTCTCCTTCGACAAAATGCTGGACGACCGGGGCAACACGGCAGCGTACCTCCTCTACGCCTTCACCCGCATCAGGTGACAGCTGCTTTGTTTTTGTTTTCAGAAGYAGCACTTTCTGCTTCTATGTTCAGACTGCTGAACGTTCACTGAACATGTTCACACCAAGGTGACAAAAAAGACTAAATTATTTAAAACTTCAGAGATTTGAGTGTAGAAAGGACTTATTTATAGTAGAACACTGTGGTGRTGATGATGATGAGGAGGAGGAGGGTCTTTGTCTTCATGATCTGGTCACAGATCATCAAAGATGGCTGAATAAATGGAATATATGACTGGAGGGACAAATAAATGATACAGATGGATGGAGGGATGATGGATGGATGGAGGGATGATGGCTGGATGAATGGATAGATGGAGGGATGATGGCTGGATGAATGGATGGATGATGGATGATGGATAGATGGATGATGGATGGTTGATTGATAGTTGGATGGATGGTTGGATGATCGATGAAGGATTGATGGATGGATGGATGATGGTTGGATGATGGATGGAGGGATGATGATGGATGATGTTTGGATGATGGTTGGATGATGGATGGATGAATGATTGACGGATGGATGATGGATGGATGGATGATGGATGGATGGATGCATGGTGGATTATGGTTGGATGGATAGATGATGGATGGTTGGATGATGGATGGATGGTTGGATAGATGATGGTTGGATGATGGATGGTTGGATGATGGATGGATGATGGATGGTTGGATGATGGACGATGATTGGATGGATGATGGTTGGATGATGGATGGATGATGGACGATGATTGGATGGATGATGGTTGGATGATGGATGGTTGGATGATGGATGGATGATGGACGATGATTGGATGGATGATGGTTGGATGATGGTTGGATGATGAATGATGATTGGATGGATGATGGTTGGATAATGGATGATGGATGGTTGGATAATGGATGATGGATGGTTGGATAATGGATGAAGGATTGATGGATGGATGGTTGGATGATGGATGGTTGGATGATGGATGGATGA